TTCAAGCATTGTCAGTAACTATATGCTGGACCCTCATTCTATTCACAACTGTGACGATACGCGACAGTTAAGTCAGGCTGACTTCAGTTATGCTGCTTCCTTTAAACATGCATTTCAACATGTCTCAAAACTTTTATAATTTGTCTGACAATGCAAAAGGCAGAGAATGAACAAGAAACTGTGTGGGAGAGTGAGTATCGCCTAATTAAAAGTATCAGAAATCTTCCTCCATCAGCATGAGGGGGAATTAATGTGGGGCTGTTGGCACATGAAGTCAATGCTTCAGGCTTCCCGTCTCCAAACAGGCAAACAGGAGGTGCATTGCAGAGAGCCGGTTGCCTTGGTAACAACAACTGAGCTGCATGGATTTCAAGCAGAAGCGCTAGTGAATTCTCAGGGGTGAAGCTAACTACACCTTTAAAGATTAAATGTTGACTCAACACAACAGCCAAGCCAAATTACAGAAGCGTACATTAGAAGTGACTACAAGATTCACCTTCGCCTTACAAAATAGGTTCTTACACTATAAATAAGAAATCATTTATGGAGGACATCGATATGTGAAGACACAAATTACATTGAAGATATGCATCAATCAACAGCACATACTAATCATTTCTCTGTCTGAACGTTTTATTAAAAGACCTGACGTTTTCCAAAGCCTCTGATACTGTATGTCCAGTGCAAAGGCATCTGTCAGTGACGTGCTTTAAAATCTGATACACTTTAAGCACAGGAAACTTGTGTCTGAATGAGAGGCGGAGAGTCCATCCTACTGTAAAAGAACCATCAGTTCTCTACACCCTGTCTACGCCGATTTTAGAAGAAAATCTGCAGAATGGATTTTTGAAACTAAACAGACCTAAAAGTACTAGAAACTAACACTTTGTTTCACAGTGTGCTTGTTACACATTACTTGTACTAGTTTTAACAGTAAAATATGCATCATTTTATAAAACCAACCTTAAATCAAACTCTAATCCTAGCCATAACTTTATAGTAAGTACATGTTATTAATTAAAATGACTCAATACTTAAATGTATAATTAGACTGTAACAAGGACACCTACCAAAACTAATTGGCTACTGAAAGCATAATTAATTAGACAAATCAGACAAAATATTAATAAGTAAGCATGGTATATTCATGAATGTACTTTTAAGTCTGCGAACACAAACGCATTTCTTGATATAAAATTAAAATCATTCTTTGATTAAAGTTATTAGTTGGATGTCTGATGCTCGCCTCGTTTACATGCATAAGCAGTCAAAGCCACATGGAAACAGCATTAATAGTGCAAAATCATTTATTGCAAGTTCTCACATATTTTTGTAAAACCCTAACATTAAAGTTTTAACTACACACTCATATTAACGGATTGCTTATTGAACTGTTATATGAAAGCAAGTCTGTTGATGTTCAGTACAACAACACTCTTTCTCATACAGTGTAATGGTATTGCTTAAATATACTTCTATTAGCAGAATGAAGAATATAGTGCAGATGAAGATTTAGAAATAGTTCCTATTTATATTCCACAACCTCTATCCTGTGACCGAGAAAATTCACTGAAGCACCATTTTAACAATGTAGTGTATCAAGAGCAGTCACAGCTGTGGCCCTGTAGGCCTGAGCTGATCAACAGCTTTTGCAGCAACGAGGGTAAAATACAACAGCTCTACTATGATTTAGCCTCTCTTGCTCGTCTCTGTGTGGAAAAGATGATTTATGCCGGGTTCTTTGTCTCCCACCGCTGCTCTGGATAATATAATGTGGACAGGTTTGTCCTTCTCTGAGATATGATCTTGGTTTTCAGAGGCCAGGTTATGGAGATATGTCCGGAGATGAAAGAAGAGAAGGAAATTATAAGTCAGCTTGTCATGAAAATCTCCATGATTTTATGAAAGTGTGTCTGCGTGGACTGATAGGTTACCTCTACATTCTTAAAAATAAAGGTCCCAATTTATTTTTTTTTTTTTGGTCAATGCCATTAAAGAATCATTTTGGGTTTTCCAAAGCACCTTTCACAGAATATATATAAGTGCTGTCAAACGATTAATCGCTTCCAAAATAAAGGTCTTTGTTTACATAATATATGTGTGTGTACGGTGTATATTTATTATGTATATATAAATACACACACATGCATGTATATATATTTAAGAAAAATATGTTATGTTTATATATTAAATATATTTATGTATAAAATATAAGAATATAAATATATAAATGTATATATATATGTAAATATTTTTTTTAAATGATACTCTATGTGTGTGTATTTATATATACATAATAAATATACCCAGTACACATACATATATTATGTAAACAAAAACGTTTAATTTGGATGTCATTAATCGCAATTAATTGTTGGACAGCACTTATATATATTAGTGTGACAAACTTTTTAATAATCTGAAGACCATTTTCAATACTGTATAAAGAACATTTTGTGTAATGGAAAGGTATTTAAGGTTCTTCATGGAACCACAGATGCCTTTATTTTTAAGAATGTACAAGTTGAAGTTGGTAAATTGTAGAACATATTTGTGTGCAGATATATAGCTAAACAATTAATATCAAAATGTCTAATCTTGATTAATTTTAAGTTTTGGGTCTTTTTTTGCTAAAAAAAAATCTAAAAAGCTAGCATTAGCATTAAAATTCTATTTCTAACAAATCACAAAAATAATTTTAAGTCACAAAGTTTAATATTTGAACCCTTAGATCTTAAGCAAATATGTTTTTATGATTATGTATGACTATGATGTTATACGATACATGACATGCAGATGAAAAAAAATGTGGTCATGATTTGACTAAATTAAAACAAGGAAATGAATTAGTATAATGTGGCCATGATTTTACTCAAATGAAGGAACAAATGAATAAATCACAGACACAAATGGATAAATTCTGAAGGAATGAATTCTTAAGTCATGGCCACAATATCTATTTGCTATCCCATGTCATGTTATGTTCATTTGACCATGACATTCCTGCATTCATGTAGGAATAATTTCATATAGTTGCATATAGTGCAGCATTAGGTGCGTGAGATCTAGATGAGCGTGATAAGATAGTAAAAGTGTGAAGACTGTCTCTGTAAATAGGTTATGCCCGAGGGTTTGCACAACCGTCTTGTCTGAAACTGCCTCTGAATTATGAGATCATTGCAACATCTGCCGGTTAGAGGGACTGACGCTGATGGACGGCCAGGTGTGTGTGTACTTACTGTACACACACAGGCTCACTGCATGCTAATGAAAAATGAAAGCGGAAATGAAATGCAACTTGTGTCATGAGATACCTGAATAGCTGTCTCAATATATTTACTCAGTCTGTGTGTCAGATTGAGCCATAAGATACATTAATCACAGGAGGAGAGTCTCCTCAACCGCTCCAGCTGCTCATTTGTGGTCAGGAATGAGCCGCAGAAGATCATTGAGTTACACATAGATTACAAGTTCATGTTACATTTATATTATGTTAACATAATTCTGTTAATTTACGGTGACCCAGTAGTGCATAACACAACAAAATCTCCACAACACAACGCATTGGACTAATTTGTTGTTTTGTGCTAATTCTGCTGTGTTGTGCTAATTTTGTTGCGTTGCACCTTGTTTCTGCTGTGTTGTGCTAATTTCATTGCGTTGCGGCTTGTTTCCGTTGCGTTGTGCTAATTTCATTGTGTTGCAGCTTGTTTCTGTTGTGTTGTGGTTTGTTTCCATTGCGTTGTGCTAATTTCATTGTGTTGCAGCTTGTTTCTGTTGTGTTGTGGTTTGTTTCCATTGCGTTGTGCTAATTTCATTGTGTTGCAGCTTGTTTCTGTTGTGTTGTGGTTTGTTTCCATTGCGTTGTGCTAATTTCATTGTGTTGCAGCTTGTTTCTGTTGTGTTGTGACTTATTTCCATGTGTTGTGCTAATATCGTTGTGTTGTGGCTTGTTTCTGTTGTGTTGTGACTTGTTTCTGTTTTGTTGTGCTAATTTTGTTGTTGTGGCTTGTTTCCGCTGTGTTGTGATTGTTTTCTTTGCATTGTGGCTTGTTTACATTGCGTTGTGCTGCAGCTTGTTTCCATTGTGTTGTGCTAATTTCGTTGCGGCTCATTTCTGTTGAGTTGTGCACTACTGGGCCACCGTAATAATCACACGTTTATCCAGAGTCACTTGAAATTAATTCTAAAGTTAGGGTTGAGTAAGATTTTTCAAATGATACTGAAATAAATGCTCACCAAGGCTGCATTTATTTGACCAAAACAAAATAATATTGTAAATTATTATAACAAATTAAAATGTTTTTTTATTACAATTTTAAACTGTAATTTATTCCTGTGATGGCAAAGCTGAATTTTCAGTAGCCATTACTCCAGTCTTTAGTGTCACATGATCTTTCAGAAATCTGCTGATTTGCATTTTTCTTGCTATTATTATTATTTTTGTAAAAACTGCAATATATATATATATATATATATATTCAAGATTCTTTGATAGAAAGTTCAAAAGAACACCATTTATTTGAAATATAAATTTTTTGTGACTTTATTATCGTCTTTATTATCACTTTTTATTTAATTTAATAAAAGTATTAACTTATATAAATAAAAATCAATCAATAAAAAAAAAAAAACATTTTTTTGGACCCCAAACATTTGAACGTTATCTCAAAGTGATTATTCTGTAACATGAACATTGTAATGTAAAGTGTGACCTCCATTGCACACCTTCTTGCCTCACTTCCTGTGTCCAGGGATTTAAGAGCTTCAGGCCGTTTCCAGAGCTTAGATCTGCTGATGACGGATAAGCCTTCAACCTCTCAGATCACTCACACTGGAGGACACAGATGAGAGATGGGAATCTCCATATTTTCCTATGACCTGACTGCTTTTGCCTCACAGCACTGAGCACATCTGTTGCCTTCATTGTCATTTATTGAATGGCTGGCTTGAAGCTACAGGGGTTAATTAAACTTATTTCAAAAACCTATTTTTGCCGCTAACACTCACATGATGTGCTGATATCTCACTATCTATACCCTCTCTAGCTCTCTGTCCTGTTAGTTATTGCTTTGAGCCGGAATCACTGGTCTTCCTTCCAGATGGGATGGGTGGCAGGACTGGTTTAACGGTGGCACCTGGACGGCCCGGGGAGGAGGGGAGTGTTGGAGAGACCATGTGACCTGAGAAACATCAAACAGATATGCATTATTCAAATAAACTAGAATCGAACATGATCTCATGAGTAGGCCTAGGTATTCAAACAAATTTCTGAATAGATATGTACAATATCTATGTATGGACAGCTTCTAAAATGTAAATGTATTATGCATGTACAAATTAGATGCTAAAATGTCTAACGTATGAACACAGAGAGAAAAATGCTCGTCACCTCTAAGAGAGTCCTGGTCCTGCCCCAACATAGACATATCCAAAGGCTCTATGTTGGGCCCTGACCCAGCGTCTGATCCCTGGGCCGCTGAGAGCGCCCCCGCTGAGCTCCTCATGGACAGGCCAGAACTGGCACGAGATTCCTCAGAACTGAGACAGAGTGAGGGAAAAGAAGAGAAAGAGAGAGATTAAGAAAGTTACAACATCAAACCAGATTGCTAAACCAGTAATCGGATTATGATCAATGATATGGACATAATAGAAACAATATGTTTATATACTTCACTTTGTGTCTACTTAATACTTCATTTACACAATAATGTAATGTCTCAAATTATCTTCATTTGAGATCTTTTCACAGTAAATACTGATGTAATTTCCAATTTTAAAATTGGTAAATTCATCAGCATATCATCTATAGTTCAAAAGTTTTGGGTTGGATTTTTATATTTTTGAAAGAAGCCTCTTCTGTTCACTAAGTCTGCATTTATTTGATTAAAAATACAGTAAAACCATACTATTGTGAAATATTACATTTTAAAATAAATGCTTTCTATTTAAATATATATTATAAATTTAATATTTTAGTCTTCAGAATCAGAATGAGCTTTATTGCCAGGTATGTTTTCACATACAAGGAATTTGTTTTCATGAAGAAAAATTTCTAGTGAGTGTCACATCCTTCAAAATCATTCTAATATGCTTTTCTAATAACCATTCTAATAATCTTTTGATATTCTAATATCAAATGGTCAGCATTTATTCAAAACAGAAATCTTTTGTAACATTATAAATATCTATAATTTCACTTTTGATTAATTTAATGAATCCTTGCTGAATAAAAGTATTATTTTTTTTCTTTCAAAAAATTCTTACTGACCCAAACTTTTGAAGAGTAGTCTAATTAATTTGACTGCAAATTTGAATTAACTAACATCCCAACAAAGTTCTTATTATAACACAATCCTCAATTCAGTTGAAAAGAAAATCCAAATAGTAACAACAATATGGAAATGACTCATTCTCTATAGGACTCTATTTAAAAACACACGCATCAGTGCTGAATAAACAAATGTCTCAAGACACCCATTAAAACGGTTTTAATAAGTTTTAATTGGCATCTGATATTTTTTAGAGAGCTGGCAATGGTCTCTTCACGGATATCCCATGATTCCACGGCCTGCATTTTCAATTGATTTCATAAAGAGCACAGTGAAATTCATAACTAGATTGCAAAGTAACAAACTCCAAATGCATATTGCTTTTCCCCGGCGGATGAGAAACAAAAAGTCACTGTTTAACACAATTTGGACTTGCACATTAGTTTTGTCATTTTTTTCCTAGCTAATAAGCAAACGGTGGTGCACCGCGCAGGCCGGGCAGCTCTGTAAGTCTCCCAGGATTCCTCTTAATGAGCTAAATTACAGTGTATTTAAATATCTTGGGGACATGCATATTTCACAGGAGTAGTCTTGTATTTCCTCGCCTGTTTAGAGTCCCCGAGCTCATACACGGGAGAGGCAAATGCACCGATAGTCATAAATCTGCATTTACGTGCTCCAACACATATATCTTCCAGATGGCCTGGGGCATGTCAGCTACCTGAATGCTTTAACTTTGAGCTGGGGATGAAAACTTTGATATTTGAGCCTGGATGTGTGTAAAATGGAGATGGAGGTTATAAACATAAAGGGAGAGGCTACAAGATAAAACACGTCCTGGGAAATGATGTACACAAGGAGAGGGCTTTGGGGAAAGGTTAATTGTTTTGCTGCTCTTGGGCCAGAGGTCAGAGGTGAAAATGTCAAGGTGTGTGTGGCATACCTGCTGTCCTCATCGGGGTCAGGAGCGCTGAGGCCAACAGGACACATTGGGGAGGAAGAGGGGCCGGGTGGGGGCCGGGACTGAGAGGCTAATGATGATGGAGCTGTGGGTGCACTTCTGTGACACACACATAAACAGTATCAGTAAAGCACTATAAACACACACTCACCAGCCTGTGGTGGTGCTTTTTGCTGAGGAGACCAAATTTGGGCATTTTATACAAAAACACAATAGCGTGTTACAAATCTAGGCCATTTAACTGTAGCTATGTAAAACTAAATACAGTAATTAAAAAAGGAATGACTAAATACAGTATTGAATTATCAAAAAACATCATTGAAATTTATACTGAAATATTAGCAAAAAACCTTTCAACTATTTTTGAACTATTTCAAGTTTTTTAAATAAGTCTCTTATGCAATCAAAATCTCAATTAATCAAAAATACGATAAAATAGTAATATTGTGAAATATTATTGCATTTTAAAATAGCTGTCATCTGATTTAACATTTTAAAATGTAATTGATTCCTATGACAGCAAAACTGAATTTTCTGATATATGCTGATTTGATTCAGTTCTTACTTTTATAAACAGTTTTACTGCGTAATATTTTCATCTTTGATGAATAGAAAGTTAAAAAGAACACCATTTATTTGAAATATAAATACTTTGTAATATTATAAATGTCTAATGTCATTTGGGCAACTTAATGCATCCTTGCTTACTTGTCTCCAAACTTTTGAAAAGTAGAGTATACAGTATTTATGCATATTATTTATTCTTATTATTTATAAGCATATTATAGAAGTGGAGTGTTGCATCATTAGCTTTGCAATGTGCTAATGCTTAATTCTCTTGGAATTATTATTTGTGTGGTGTGCAGAGTTGCTGTTTATGAAAAACATTACAAATCAGTCACTTTTGGGGTTGTCTTTGAGTTAGCATGATGGCTTAGAAGGTGGCTTTAGCAGACACCAAGCCAATGTTCTGGGGTTGGAACAGTGATCTTCTATCTCATTGTCAGCCACAGTCTTTGGGTGATCAAAGTTGCTAAACAGTCAAAGTTATGTTACCTCTGAAACAGCTCGGCATATGCACCAAGACTCTTCCCGCTCAGAGCTTCTCGAATCAGCTGCTGATGCCTGTGATTGGAAGCCATTTCCTGTGGCGTTCACAGAAATATTGTGCTTGCATGAGTGTGACTGTTAATTTCATCCCTATCTGCTATTCCTGGCCATGACAGCTTCTGTGTATTATATCAAGCCAATAATCGTGTAAAAATAACAGAATCTATAACTCTGACTTACTGCAGGGGTCTGCTGAGGGGTCATCTGGGCCTGGATTTTGTTCTGGTAGTTTCTGCTGTAGGAGTCCATGAGGTCAGTGGCCTCTGTCGTGTTGGCTGCCAGTAACTCGCCAGTTGCGTCTACAACAGAGTAGTCGTTAGGGCACTCAGCCATCGTGAACAGATGTCTGCTGTGGCTGCAGCAGTGAAATGCCATAGCCTCACACTGAGTACAACTATATGCTTTATAATCCTGTCGAAGTGCCCCGCAGACAAAACTGACTTCATGTAAAGGCCCCATGAAATCAAATTGGGAGTTTTGTGGCCCTTAGTCCAAGTGTGTTGTTTTGTAGACGCCAATAAAATTTTTGTAAAAACTAAAAATAAATACATAAATAAAGATAAAATAAACAATTGTAATACTTTTCCAGCTATGAAATATCAACACTGAAAAGAACATGGTGCATGTCAAGTGATATCATTGGGTCTTAGTGTATGGCAAAGTGGGACTATGAAAGCTCACTTGTGGAGGTGTTGTCAGGTGTGACTGAGCTGCTGTCACCTCCTCCTCCATGCTCCTCTAGACCCAGGTACTCCTTCACCAGTTGTTTTAAAGCCTGGTAGGCCTCAGCACGATCATCTGATGAGCACAAAAGAAGGGGAGCATTTGAAGGAGCAATTTAGTTTCCATAAAAAACTGAAAATGTCCTGCTCAGGCAGGTAAAGATTTGTTTTATTGTAAGGCTAGAATACACAACACGATATTTGACACTAACTGCTGAAACGTCAGAGCCAGATTTGAGTTGACAGATTTCATAGAAAATCGTGTAGTATATGATGTTCAGACTCTGATTATTTAACTTCAGACTATGACTCCATCCAGTTGGAGACTATCAAACATGTTCAATATTTTGAGTCGATTTTAGAACACATATTGTTTTAATCTGTCATGCATCTCCTAGCAAAACAAAGCGCATGTTTCTGCTTCAGTTTGTTGTGATCGGAACGACTTTAAAGTCTGGTAGCGTATGTTCCTCCTCAGTCATTTAGTGTATGATAACCAGTTTTTCCTATCTGACTGTTTACAAATTCAGTAAGTGTATGATGCATAGCGTTTTAAAATCTGTCATGTAGTGTATTCAGGCATTTAGGGTTTTCTTACAATTCACAAAAGGAAATAAAAAGTATATTCCTATAGATATATAGCTAGACAGTGTAACTGGCCTTAATGGGTTAATAAAAGTTTGTTACCACAAGGGATGATGTTGTCAAAGAAGCCAGGTAATTCTCTGTTGGTCTTGGAATACAAATCAATACGAGACACAGCTGTTTCCATCTGAGCAATGCTGTAGAATCCTCTTGCATTCAGAAAGCAGACGTAATTATCAACAACAGTGGGGATCAGCAAGACGTAACGGGGCTCAAAATACGAGTTCTTCAAACTATACACTCCCTGTATTAGAGCAAACACACAAAAATGCCCAGTATAATTAACTGCTGTGGCGTTTGACCCAGTTTTGTGCTTGGTCAACATGGTGGAACATGTTTTCTTGATACCATACTGTACCTCTAGTTCCATATGCACACAGCAGGCAAGACCTTCGCGAGCCACACACTCAATTGTTTCCCGCGACAGGCCATACCAATGTCCTCCGTACTGCATCGTCTGGACAAACTGACCCTGACAGTGAGAGAATAAAACTGAAAAAGACACTGTACTGATGCCATAGAGTTCAAATTCCTCTTTTGAATGGGCGTTCTTCATGATGTTCGACACAGATTCACTACAGAATGACCTGAACTCTCGACTTTTGGGCTGCAAGGAAACATCGTTCTTCTCACACAGACAAACATTTGACCCCTGTGTTCAACTGGGTCCATTTAGCCGCCGCAACGCCGAAGTCGCTCCCTGTCAAGCTTTTACTCGCACAAAGCAATTCTAAAACACATGTTTTTACATCTCTGGTCAAGATGGTTTTAAAACATCAGTACAAATCCCAACCATGCTCTAATCCTCTACACTATTTGCTTTAACAGGCCCAGAGAAAAGCACCAAGGAGTGTTCACGTCTGCAGAATGCCGACACACATCTGTGTCGGCGTGATATAGGTAGGGGAGGTTAGTCTGTAAAACTCGACTCTGTCTCTTTCTCTGCTCTGGAGGCATAAGGTTATAATCACACATCAAAAGGCTTCCTTCCAGCCTCAATCAATCAATAACATTGGACTTATATAGCAACACTTAAGAGCTAAACGAGATAGTGGCGGCACAGACTAGGTGTGCACTCTCTCAGAAGCACCTGAGGGGTCTGGGGAAAAAAGAGAATCTAAGGCGAATTCCTTCCCCTCTTCACGTTTTTGGCATGTCATTGCTTTTATAGACCAATATGGCCTGGGGAAGTCTATTTCTGCAGATGAATGGGCATAAAACTGTATCACAAAAATCTAAATATGTAGGGTTATGAGTAAAATCCTGCCAAAGCGGATCAAAATATGATGGACAGAGAATTACCATTTGAATCATGTTCTGAAATTCTTCCTCAGTGACAAAGTGATAGTCAGATCCATCCTCTTCCCCATAATAGGGCCCCCTGGTGGTGTGGCAGGCACTAAAACAAACAAATCAATTAAAGAAACTAGGACTGCACTATTTAAATATATATTGAGATATGGCTTAGTGTGATTATCATATTGTAAAGGCTGCAATTTAGTTAAATAAATATGCTGAGTTTCACTCTGAAAACAATAGCGCATATACAGTATTTATTTGCAGGCAAACTGCCAAAATAAAAGCTTGATGGTTTAACATTTGCTAATGAAAAAATTAAGACATGTATAGTACTATAAAATGATTATTAATAAACCATTTTACAATATTTTGTTATTTTACACTACAAAATATTTTTGAAATATATTTCTTATTTTATTCAGTACATTTATTTAATCATAATATTAATAATAATTATTATTATTTTATAGTCATACTGAATGGGTCAAAAACAGTGGGAATTCAGCCTATATTTTTTCATATTGCAATACATATTGCAGAAAAACTAAATATTACAATGGCATTTGTTCCTAATAAAGTACACATTTTGAACAAAATGACATCAAATAATAATATTTTAGTGACTTTTATAATGCACTCCAAACTGCTACTTACCCATAAGCGAAGTAGTCGCTGAAATCCTGGCACAGCTTATGGGCTAGTTCCCTCTTCCCACAGGCCTGCGGGCCAGTGAGGACCAGCATGGGGTATGGAGCATCCAGACTGGGGAGAGTACTTGTGGAATAACATGCGAAAATGCATATTAGCTAATGCTGTTTTTGTGAACCGTGCTATTGAACTTCCTGTGAGTTCAACCATGTAGTTTATAACGAACTGGGTGACTTCAAACAGCCTCGCTACACAGCTCCAGATTCATTTTAGTTCAGACTTGAGCGCTGTGAGTGGTTTGAAGGGCTTTCTGCTTGAAAGAAGTGGCCTTTGTGGACTAGACAGGCTCATAAAACGAAGAGGAAAGCGGATCGAAAAGTCGTACCTGTCAAAAATAACCTGAGGTTGCATGAGCTGGTATACCAAGTGGGTCATGTGATCTCTGGCTGCGATCACCTCCAGAGGAGGGTCGTGGTTGTTCACAGCAGACACCTGAGAATGAAAGACAGGAATGGGACTCACTACTCAACCCTGACATAATCATTGAAATATGTGCTTTGTTTTCCGACAAACTTTCAGAGCTTTCAAGTTCTATTCATTTCAGCCCTTGAACACAGAGCTCTTGACTTCAACCAGCCAGCAAATGCTCTTCAAAATGTTAGGCAAAAATAGGCTTCCTCCATCTCAAAGCCATAAACAGCACTTCCCTTTTTAGAAACTAAAGATGTAAAGCAATCGTTCCTTCTACTCCAGATCACACAATCACCTTCTCCTCTGCAGTTACAGTGTGTTGATCCAGAATGGTGAGGTGCTGAAGGAGGAATATCACAGCTAGTCTATAGTCATCCTGGTCCTGCAAGAAAGTATTTGGCATTAAGAATAAGGTGATGACATTAGGTCCAGTATTGTGGTTCTGAGATGTTTATGGTGCCCTCACCTGCACTGGGTTTCTGAGGAGATTCATTTCTCTCAACAATATCAGGTCATGCAAATGTGCAGCCTCTTTTACCTCACTGATCTGATACACAAAGAACAACAAAGAGAATTATATGTTGAGTGAAATATCGTGCGTGATGCCACATTTACACTCTCAGAACTTCAACAACTTTCCACTGGGGCAGAACCCTCAAAGGGAGATCTGAGTAGTAGTACTTAGTAGTACTTTGAGGGTATATATATATATACACAGTACTCGTTTTTTCTGGCAAATTTTAGACTTTTCTTACATTTTAGACCTTTCTAATCATTTTCATTTGGCTAAATTGGTTCATTGTTGTGGTATTGGTGGTACTCTGAGGTATAACTTTAGAGTCATTTGCATAATATAATATGACAAGAATTTGACAGCTCCTTTACCAGATTGCTCTCAAGGTTGATGTTTCCCAGGAGATGGAGGTTTTGGAGACCCGAGAGGTTTTGAAACCGGTTACAGGACAAATCCAGAACCTGCAGGTTGCGTAGAGTCTGGAGATTCTCAATCCTCTGTATCACATTCCCCCTCTTAAAAAAACACACATATAGGCCTATACAACTATCATTTCAATGAGGTAAAGAACAGTAAGTCAAAAGCTCTGCACATGATCTGCAGGGTCATGTGCCATTTCTGTCTGGCTGTGGCTGGGTGATTGACAGGTGAGCTCAGGTTATTTAAAAGGCTGATGGGTAGGGACTGACAGTCGAACATCTGGTAAGAATGTCAGGTTTGAAATCAGGGTGCAATCGTTATGGTTGGGGTCAGGGTTATTATAGTTGACTGGAACTAAAAACCCTAAAAAACGTTTGCTACTTAAAATAAACTGAAATAAAATAGAACAAACTAAAACTATAACAAAAGGCAAACTAAAACTGGAATAAAAATTATATAGAAGTTTACAAATCAATAATTAATAAAAATGAAAAAAGCACACAACAAAATGCCTAAAACTAAAAGAAAATGGAAAATTCAAAAATAAAAACCAAGTCTAAGGGCCAGTTTTACTAACAGCTTGCGCCAGCACAAACCGTCTTTTGGCATTAAAATTGTACTGTCAGGTTTTACTAAAGATGCGCAGTGACGAATTAGCACTGAAAAGGCGTGGACAGTTATTTTTGCACCTGACCTTATTGAATATGCATTTTTAGGAGTTTCCCTTACAGACCTGTTTTTATACAGTCTATGTTTCAGACGCATAAGTTATGGGAGGAGAGTATTATTCAAATGAATCACACAACGTGTTTTACTAACGTTTGCGCTCGTCAAATTACTGGCATTTGCGCAATTATTTAACGCCTAAAAAAAGCATGTCAAACTATTTTGCGCTTGAAATGGCTCGATATGTAAATGAGATGTTGCATTTGTGTTCTTTAATTTGCAGATTGTTAGTTAATCGCCCGCAGAAATTTCCTCTCCCATCGGCGCTGTTTTGGAATTGTGCTTCCGCGCTAATAACTAATTTGCCCTGTTTAGTAAAACTGGCCCTAAATATATATATATATATATATAAAAAAAAACTATAACAATCTCTCAGTGATGCTAAAATAACACTTGTCGGGTTCTTGACCCTAATTGGATTCAATACAATTCAGCAAACAAACAAACAACAATAAGGTAAAAACAGCAAATCTTTTAACATTGATGCTTTTTTTTACACACATTACAACAAAATAAAAGAAAGAAAAGAAAAAATTAAATAAATAAATTTGTACGCACATTCCACAACACATCAGAGTGTCGAGACTTTGCAGTCATGTTCACGACCCTACAGTAAATCAGGAAAACTCATAGAATTTAAAGGAAAACATCTTAAGCTAAACCAATATTTTTGGCAACTCTGGCAATGAAACGGGTCAAACTGACCCACAACCTAATGTGAGGGCCAGAAAGATTCCAGCTTCCAAAGCCTTGGCCTTATAATAACCCCATGCCTGGTGCAGAACAGCAGGGGACGGCAACCACGAGGGGCTCTGGAAGCCCCAGAACCAAAGTGTGATGGGTGTGAGCGGAACAGGCTGACAGGCGCACGCTGTTCAGGGTCTCAGACAGGTTCAGCGTGTGGGAGAGTTTTTTTTTTTTGAACAGGGTCCAGGCTCTCTCACGCCAGCAGCTTGGCCTCGTGGGACGTGGACACCAAAGGACGTGGCGCTGCTGACGATGAAGAATCTCTTTGATAAAGGACAGCATAAACATCCTTCAGCTGAGTGGCAAAGGTCTGGTGGCACGCTGGCCTGCCATATGGTGGGCTTCAACACCAGGCTTTGTTATATTTTCTGAAAAGGCTGGAGCTTAATCATACATACTGTCTGAAAAATACACAGTTAGGGGATGGTTTGGGAAAAAAGAGTAACTGTCAGCGATATAAAAACAGTGCCAAAACAAGGCTGTAGTGTTGCCCACACGATCACACAGACAGAACGTGTGGTAACCTTTCTAAAAGTGTAGACACAACAACATAATCTGGAAGAGGATGACAGGTGACGGGGAGATACTGTGGGTGAGCAGAAAAATATGTCAACAGGTTTTGTAGGCTGACGTTAATTAATCCAACAGAGACTCATAAACACTTTGAGGAAAGACAGGAAAGACCTCTCATTTCTGCATTCCAGTCTCAAATTAGAATCAAGCGTGATTACATTTATTTATCGCCCCATCATGAAGAGACATATTTTCCCAAACAGAAATTAACATTTTATAGTTACATATTCAATACCTGTCCTACCGTACCACTGTTAATTTCTCACCTCAAAACACACATTAATTAATCTGCAAACCTGCTCATAACAAGTAAATATTTCATTAAAAACGTTCATATTTTATACTTCTCGGCACTTATTAATCATCGGGAATACATTAGCTGTTAAATGGGTGTTGCTGTTATAAATGGTGAGTGTGTGTTTGTGTTTAAGAGGGCTGACAGTACCAGGCAGAGCTTTCTGAGAGGCAGATGGTCCAGACCCCTAATGCGGGAGATGTTGTTATGGGCCAGACTGAGGTGTGAGAGCCTTTTGCACTTTTCCAGCCCCCTGATGGCACTAAATGAATTATCTGAACAGCAAGGCACAGTCAAAGAATGTTTCATACACTTGTTTTTAACAAATTAATAGTTTAAAGTCCACATTAATCAGCCAGGTTACTTTTATTAGATACCCTTAGCTATTAAAATTCTGGTAATTTTCTTTTCGGTTGATGTCACCGATCCCTATTTTTTGGTATGTGACACCCACTTTTCCCGCTCCAGTCAATTCCCAAAATCAGTGGTGCGTTCCATTTGTACGGAAGTCTGAAATTCTAAGTTGCCAGTACGTCACATTTTAGTTTGGGGACCAATTCTCACTATTAACTAACTATGAACTATTACTTGCTATTACTTACTATTACCTAATTTGATCAATAGTTAGTAAGATAGTTGCTAAATTTAGGGGTTTTTAGTGTGAAGTGTGAAGTGACATGTGGCCAAGTATGGTGACCCATACTAGGAATTAGTGATCTGCATTTACCAAAGTGCACACACACAGCAGTGAACACACACACACCGTGAACACACACCCGGAGCAGTGGGCAGCCATTTATGCTGCAGCGCCCGGGGAGCAGTTTGGGGGTTCAAGGGCACCTCAGTCGTGGTATTGAAGGTGGTTGTGTATTGAAGAGATCGCTGTACATTCACTCCCCCCACCTACAATCCCTGCCGGTATGAGACTCGAACCCGCAACCTTTGGGTTACGAGTCCGACTCTCTAACCATTAGACCATGACTTCCCCAAACTATTAAAGACTTTATCAACTGGTACTGCTAACAATGGAGGCATCCATCTCGGTTTTCCGACTTTTGTACGAGAATGCAGTCAACTCAGATGTGATGTCATTCCCAGCTCCGACATCCAACTTCTGAGGTCAATATTTTGTTCAGTTTGAATAGCCTGTTTTACTTGGAAATACAATAATGAAGTAAAATGAGTTGCGAACGATGTGTCATGCTTTGTAATCTTCGAAAGGATACAGTCAAGAATCAGCTTGGTCAAAGAGGAATATACAGAAAGATCCTTCATTACTGACATCTGGTTGTGTGAGAAATTGACCTCCTGCAGTAAAAAAAAAAAAAAAGAGAAATGGACAGTATGTGAAAGACAAACATCAGTAAAAACACCCAAAAAGCAAAAATGACGGGAAGAACATGTTGAATGTTTTAAATTACAATAACCCTCATTAAATGAGTAAAATTTATATATTTTTTTGTTTTTATGTAAAAAGGTAAAACACATCTAGCTTTAATTAACAGTAAAACATCTCTGAGACCCAATGATTTTGAAAGATTTTTCATTCACTCTTGCATAAGATTTGAACCTCACTTGACACCACATTATCCCCTCTGTAGTGAATTGAATCACCTTGAGATTTTTTGGCGGCTGGAATCCAAAGAAATCGGTGAGTTGGTTGTGGGAAGCATCCAGTATGATGAGGTGTGGCATGTGACTCACGCAGGATAGATCTACCATTCACAAAACATTAGGCAGAAAGAGCAGGGGAAAGATGGATGACAAGCATCCGCACAGCTGAGATTATTTATCCCGCTACCAAGCAACCATGAAGGGCACGGATGGAAAAAAATAATAAAAAATCCGGCAAACATTTTCAACTAGAGGATATTAGAGCAAATATCTACATTAGTGGAAGACAAATATGAGGGGGTCTGAAACATGACAGCAAATTTCATTTCACCATATAGTTTTCTTGTAACACAAACATGAAACTGGTGTAAACCTACCTTTGATTTTATTGTAGGGAAGCTCTAGCTTTTGTAGATAGATATAATTGCATAAAATGGAGACATTTTTCAAGTCTCGCCCCTGTGGCCAAACACAATCAGAAATTCAGTTAAGGTGCCAATAAAATGTCATCCGGTAAAACCCTGAAACTAGAGGAGAGTATGACGCATTAAAAAAAGATGTAAACTAATTTGGAGGCCACTTCTGTCTCTCTCTCTCTCCAGCGAAGTCATGCAACTAAACAATATCAGCGGTTTCCGGAAAAATATATTAATATTCTACCCCCAAGCTCTGTCGTGTAAGCCTGGGAAATTTTATATGGAAAATATCAATTGTTGCATATAGTAATGTAACAGTCTCAGTGTGTGTGTGTGGATCACACTGTGGGGAGCAAAGCTTCCCACAAGGCCAGTAAAACCACTCACATTGTGGGGACCAGCCGATAGAAATTAGCTTAATAACCATACTAAATAATGTCTTAACCCATTAAACAGTTAAAACAGCTAGTGACTGTATATGCTTTATGCCTATCAAAAAACTATCAAAAACTTCTCTGCTGTTTAATAAAAATCAATAAAATATATATATATATATATTTTACTATCAGGCATTTGAGGGGAAAAGGGGAATGATAAAAAAAATGCAATCTGTAATTGTATTATTTGAATTCAGCTACTATTCAATATGTTGCTCTAATGTTATAACAAATGTAACAACAGGATTATATCACTTGCTCACCAATGGAGTGAATAGGTGCCATCAGAATGAGAATCCAAACAGCTGATAAAAAACATCACAATAATCCACACAACTCCAGTCCATTAATTAACATCTTGTGAAATGAAAAGCTGCAAATCCAACAACAAATCCATTATTATCAGCTGTTTGGACTCTCATTCGGACGGCACCCATTCACTGCAGAGGATCTGCAGGTTAGCAAGTGATGCAATGTTAAATTTCTCCAAATATAAACAAACTCATCTACATCTTGGATGTAAACTTACAGCAAATTTTTTATTTTTGGGTGAACTTTTTTATGTTTTTGGAAATTATAGGTACAGTACCAAATATGGTCACGTGACTGTTTAAAAAAGCCAAACTATACACATTAAACCAAGACAGACTGATCATTCATTTACACCTGATTTTAGACTATTTAAACTCAAAAGGAAATTTTGATCAAATGGGTTAATGAATATTTAAAATGCATAAAGCTTTGTGTGAGGGTTTTGTTTAATGGATAGAAAACATGAAATCAATATAAAAACAATACAAGTCAATGGAAATCCCACAATAACGCGAAAACAAATATAAATGTGTTCGTGGATCACTCACTGACACAGAGAGGCACAGGTAAGTGTGCTGGAGTCCGGTAGCTGACTGTCCCAGGATGGACAGGCATTTAAACACGTCCTCCTCCGTTAATTCACCATCATTCTTCATTTCATACAAACAACAAAGTACGGAAACCACAACGATTTAAATGTTTGCTACACTGAGTGAAGTGTCTAAGAAAGCTATATCATGTTATGAGTAAATAGTCATGTTTGAGGGCTGTTACCTCCATTGTTGTTGTGTGTATTGACTGTGTCATCTCTCTTCTTCTGCTGCTGTGGTCTCCAGAGAGCAGCGCTTATTACTGGAGAAAGAGAGGAATCTGACATGTCCAGCTTAACACAAACGCCAAAGATTGATTATTTGACGCTATCAATTACAAAAACATATTTTCCCCCCAAACTAGACGCTAGTAAAATAGGACTTTCTGTGAGAAGCTAAAATAACCTGTAGTTGCACGCGCATCATCGGTTGCCTGGTAACCAAACGTAAACTAAAGTTGCGCAAGCAACCAAAGAACATTTGATTTTACTTGAACATTATTTAAACACTATGCTTTGGCAATACATTGTAAAAACTGTCATGCCAATAAAGCACATTGAAGTGAACTGAAACGCTACGATTCACTTACAGTTAGCAGCTAAGCTAAGCCAAAATGGCCACGTTCTTTTGTGTTCTTTCTGTATTGTTGACAGCACATTCATCAAGTGAAACATAGTGAACAAAGTTCTACAGTTAAATAAAAATATACATATAATCTCTTCAGGCAAGCCAGTACAAATAAGATTGATAGTAAAAACGGGTTCCATAGCTTGTTTCAGTTATATTCATTTATTTTCATTTTGACATTACCATTGGCAAAATTCACTTAGAATCCAGTAGGTTCAGAGGCTCCTCAGGACTTTTAAGCAATCGATTGAAATTTACAAGCATGTACATGAACATCTCAAATGTTATTAATAGGTAAGCACAAAATACATACTAAAAATACACAAAAACAAAGGCATGAAATAGTGTTGCTCTGACATACTTTGCGCAAACAACATCAGATTGTGTTACAGTAATGTCTAAATGAATTATAGTTGCATGGTATAATGCTAACAGGAGTGCTTGAGCCAGTCACTTCATTTAAATAACACGGAGGACCCCGATAATGGCTTAAACACACAAATCCACACACTTCTGTCCTTGCCTGTATCCGTTTAGTAAGCTCCTCTTACTACAGTAGATACATTATAAGGCAGACATGACATTTTTAATGTCTAACCACTGCTCCAACACATCTTACGCATTCACACGCAATTCTGATGTGCTAAGAATATGAAAGATCGTCGCTGTTTTTCTCTCTGTGGCAACCTGGTGGCAATTATTGATTCGAGTGGTTGAGTCATTTTGATGGATTGCTCGGGTGGCTTCCTGCTTAATGCCTGTGTACTGTATCGATGGCTTTCTCTCTTGCTCTATTCTTCATAATTAATGAACTAAAAATAGCCTAGAACAGAGCATGAGTGATCTGTGGGGTTTGGTGTCTGTTTGAACAAGGAATAAGAGGTTCAGATTCAAATGAAAGCAGACACAGTCGAAGGGCAGATATTGGAATATATCAACATCAAGGCTTAGAAACTCATTTCTTTACCTGATTAAACAACCCGGGGATAATAGTGATGTCATAATGGCATCATGACATCACAATCAATGACTGTCATAATTAACAAAAACATGCGCACGCAATTATACCTGCAACAAGTAGGGAGAAACTTAAACTGAATGGGGTTAGCGATTCCTATTTCCTCTTAAGCAAAAAGAACAAATCAACAAGCGGCAGGCGAGCTGTTTCTTTTTTCCCCTGGCGTTCTAATCTGGCATCTGTTATTCCAGGCACAGGCTGCGGGCCGGGCAGAGAGAGACGGCGTGCAGGAGGATTTTATAATTGAGAGCAGAGGTTTGATAAAGTAAGAAAATGAGACGAAAATGTCCCCAAGCCACAATGAGAGAATCCGTCCTCTCGCTCTGAAAGGTGTGGCCTGGTTTAACCAGAAAAGATACAAGGGATTCATTTATTAGAACATGTCTGTGTGTGCAAAGCCCTGCTCAGAAATGTATCTTACAAAGCAAGGAAGTCACTTTAATGTTTGCTTGAAAGTGTGACTTGACTCAAAGCTTGTGACAGTAACGATCGGCAGTAACGTGGACCCTTTCAGAGTATTAGTAGATATAGTTTAAATGTGCGTGTCTAGACTGTAGTGATCTTCTTATCCTTGGTAGCCTGTTTAATGGCAGCCTGTTCGCATATGATCTCTTTGAGGCGTTGCAGCCGCATGTTCTGCACGGTCAGGTCTCCCACGCCTGTCTGGCTGCGGTGGAGGAGACTTAAAGCATTGATGTAGTCCAGTTCTGTGTAATGCACCCCTTGATCAACCACCAGGTTTAGCAGCTCGTCGGCTGTATTATACAGCATCTCATAGTACTGCCTGCAGAGAAAGACACAGAGAGAAAGAATAAAAGAGTTGCTGTTATTCCGAGGGTGCCATTCAAGGTGTGAAAGTGTTGCTGAACTTATTATAAAATATACTGTTGCTTAAAATAATTAAATATATAACATTATATTTATATAATTTAAGCAACTCATATAATTATAAAAAAAATATATATAAACTTTATTTTTAGCAAAATATTATATTTTATTATATTAAATGTCAAAAATATACTTATAATTGTCTTTAAAAGCACTACAATGTGCAATGTAATTTAAAATATTCATTTGGAAAAATAACTACATTTTACAGCTATATATTGTATTTATATAATTTCAAACAACACATACATATATACACACACATACTGTATATTAAATGTCAAAAATATGCTGTGAAATATATTTATAATTGTTATTAACCAGTTTCCTTTAAAAACACTACAGTGTAATTTAGAATATTAATTTGCAAAAATAACTACATCTAACAGCTACAACTCTGTAAGAGCAATATAAATTATAAAACAATTTTACCTGAAATAATTGCATAAGGTCTAAAACATTTTATTATATTCAATCCATTTCAACACCTGAAATGATCATTTAATACAATTAAATTATAAAAATATCATTCTGAAAGTAAAAGTAAAGGATATAAAAACCAGTACTACAAAATATTATTAGTAAAATAAGTATTTTGGTCAAATTTTTAAGTATATTAATTTCCATAAAAGAACACACATATAGAATTAACAACATAAATAATTAATAAATAAAACAATGCAACAAAATGAAAGTTCTGTCAAAAGAGCTGAAACTCTCTCACACTGGCCTTATTGTACCTTATTGTGATGCTATGCATTCACAAAACTTGTTGAGAGCATCAAACCATTTTTCCATGACCCCTTTGGCCCAAACATGCTGTTGACCAATGGAATGGGACAACATGCATTAAACATTAGACATATAGTTCAAGGAGACCACTTACACATGAGTATGCATACACACACCCACACAAAGGGCTTACAACTTCTATTTCTGCAGCAGAGGCACATTTGTAACAGGGGTGATAAGAGCTGAATGTGTTTTGACCCCATCAGAGCAGACGACTCCTCTGAATCTCTCTCATGCAGCATTACTCAGGCACACAGAAAAGGTCTTAGCCAGCAGGACTCTCTCTAACTCCCCTATCAAGCTGGCACACTCCTCCAGGTGCTCAGAGACTTCTGGCTGCACTCGAAATGAGCCGAAGAGCCCATTCTACACAACCTCTCGCTTTAAAGGTGCTCCGTACAGAGCAAACACTGGCAGAAATGGCCAATTTTAGTCTTTTCACGATGAAGCACATGTAAATTTTAAAGACATGCCAGACATCATAAAGGCCTCAGGTTTTGAACTTCTGGAGATATTAAACTTCTGGAGAACCATGGAGATGCATCATGGCTGTGATTTCTACTATAATACAAAGATATTCTACTGAAACAGTTATATGGTGCATAATTTGGTGCTTAGCATATGTAATTAAACTCCAATAATTAAAAAAAAAAAGTCTGACTCGTATTTATTGGATATCTACACTATAATTTTTTTCTCCAAAGTTTTTTTTCCCATTGGAGTATGTTTTACAAGAAAACTCTATTTCAGTCTTTGTACCTCAAAATGTCATGTTTAATTCAATGCGTTAATTGCCATTTCTTTGTTTCTATTTGTGAAATTGAATGGCAATTTCTAAGTACAAAATACTTTCAAGCCATTTTTTGTCAGTGTTAGACGACACAATTGAAAGTCCAAATCGAAATTAACAACAAAAGGAGATACTAGTGTCGTATCTATACTGCAAAAATTATTCAACGTTGTAAATGAAACAAAGATTAGTTTGAACAAGAAATTGTTTCAGTCTTTCTACTTTAAAATTTCACATTAAATGTCACATTTCTTTGTAATGAATTGCACAATTTACTAGCAATTTCTGAATGAAAAATGTTTCTACACCAATTTATTTTTCAGTGTAGATATTTGGAAGTGGCCTTTTTTTACTTAAACCAATTGTAAACACCTAGAAGCCATCCAGAAAACCTAGCAAGATGCACAAAACCACTAAGCAACACCTAAGCAACTGTATAGCAATGCCTTTGCAACCAACCACAACATCCTAGCAACTGTAACACAGCTCAAAATTAAAAAAAATCTATAGGCCAACTTTACAGTCTAAGGCCAATTTTACAGTGGATGCTGTTTTAAAAAAACTTCAGCAAGACTTTACTCCATTTCTTTAAGATTAGCAGGGAAATGTAATGGAAACCAAACAGACGATCAGTCCACTGGCTGGAAATGGAGCACTAAATGAAAGACAGAAACACACGCTCAAACATCTCAGAGACCTGCTGTCTTCTACTAAACCTTCTTGGTGAAGAAGATTTTGGAAATAATGTACTTAAGTTCTCGGAAATAATGGTGTTGCCCTTGCGCCTCTAAAATGCTGAGCTCTAATGCTGCAGATTAACACTAACATGAAAAATCAAGTGATCACAGCATATTCAGCAAGTAGAAAAATACAGATTCAACCCATAAGACGCTGAAAAGCTTGCCAAAAAGTGTGAATGTGAGCACAAGTGCACCTGCAGGACAGAGAGAG